GACCCATAGCGATCCTCTATAGGGTTTCCAAGGAGCAGCTGGTGAGCTTGAACCATCGACCTTGCAGTTCAAACAGCTTTGCAGTCTGACGCATTAACCCACAGAGCCACAGCAGGACTGCCCTTCCACCCCTAGTAACCACTAAAACTCTGACTCCATACATTTGTTTATTTCAAGTACTTTAGCTCTTACTGTAGTTGACATTTTACTTGTTTCGCTCAGTATAATGTTTTCTGGTTTGGTGCTATAGGATAAGCATTGGACTGCTAACTTCTTGGTGAGCAGTTCAAACTCCCCAGCTGCTCCTCAGAAACCCTATGCAAGGTCATTGTGGGTCCCTACAGACTTCCAGGCACTTAACAACAATGGATGAGTATTGTTCCATTGTATGTAAGTGTCACAGTCATCTCTTGTTAGATACTTTGATGGTTTCTACAGTTTTGCTATTGTGAAAAACCCTGCAAAGGACATTAGTGTATAGATTTCTGTTTGTATTCCTGCTTCACTTCTGGTATGTGCAAGATTAGGATTGTTGGGTCCTATGGTAACTCTATGTACAACTTTTCAAGGAACGGCCAAGTATTTTATACCGTGGCTATACCAGTTTCCATTTCTGTGTGTTAAGGATTAGGTTTCTAACTGCAAGGTCAGTGGTTCAAACCCATTAGCTGCTTTCTGGAGAAAGATGAGACACACTATCTTCTGTAAAGATTTATGGTCTCAGAAACCCTACGACACAGTTCTGCTGTCTTCTGTAGGGTCGCTGTGAGTCGAAGTTTTCTCCATGGCAGTGAGTTGAGTTGGGTCTGGTAATGGCTGAAGGGGAGAACAGAGTCTTGGTGTGGCTCTGTGGGTTCATGCATTGGACTGCAAAATTGGTTTGAACCACAAGGTCAGTGGTTCAAGCTCACCAACCACTCCTCAGAAACCTTTAACAGGGTCACTGTGGGTCGAAACTGACTTGACGACACTTAATAACATAACACAGTGGGAAGAAAGGCTTGGTAATTACTTCAGAAAATCAGCCAATGAAATTATAGATCACATTATTGGGATCTCATTTTGCATAGGGTCTTCCTGAGTTGGGGGCAGACTCAATGGCAGCTAAAAACAATGGCTCATGATGTGGAGCACCTTTTAATGAGCTGATTGGTCATTTGAAAAGCCATTTTGGCGATAGGTCTGTTCAGGACTAAATTTTTTTGATTGGGTTGTTTGTCTTTTTGTTGTTAAGTTGCAGAATTTAAAAAAAATCTAATTTGGATGTTGTTTTGTTGTTAAGTGCCATTGAGTTGGTTCCGACTCATAGCAACCCTGTATACAGTTTCCTAGGAGCAGCTGGTGAGCTTGAACCATCAACCTTGTGGTTCAAACGCAACTTTGCTGTCCAGCCCATTAACCCACAGCGCCACACCAGGACTCCAGTTTTGGATATTAGACACTAATCAGATATGTGGTTCTTGCACATTTTTTCGTATCTCTAGGTTATCTCTTTACTTTGCTAAACAATCCTTTGATGAACAAAAGCAGTGCATTTTTATGAAGCTCTCCTGACGTGTTTTGTCGGTCCTAACAAGGACTGCAAGTGCTTACATTGTAGCGTCCGTCTGTGAAGCTGAGCACTTTCCATCCTCTGAGCCACAGAGCCAGGGGCCTCCATGCCAACTCACTGCTCCTCTAGACCCCTGAACCCAGTAGCTTGCATGTCAGAGGATTGGGGGCAGGGACGGACACAGAGCTCCAGCTGAGTGGTAGAGTAATGATCCACAGGGAGCTCTGGAGGACAATGAGGGGAAACCTCAGAATGACCAAGGAGCAGCTTGAGACCCTGATAAGATGCCTGACTTCTGATATTTCCCCCCTCTAACACTCAGCAAAAGGAGCTCTGGTAGCGTAGTGGTTACGAATCGGGCTGCAAACCTTAAGGCCAGCTGTTCCGGTGTAATTCTGCTCTTATAAAAATTTACAGCCTCGGAAACCCTGTACAGGGTCGCTATGGGTCCAGATGGACTCAACAGCACTTAACAACAACACTCAACAAATCCAAGCAGGACTGGTAGAGTGCAGTGTCTGCAGCTTGTCACAGGATCCACAGCTGAAGGACAAAGCTAGGGTGTTCTCAAGCATACCAGCTAACATTCCAGGCAGACATAACCAAACATGTGTTCTTTGTTTTTGTTGTTAGCTGCCATCAAGGAGCTCTGGTAGCAAAGGGGTTACAAGTCGGGCTGCTAGCCTCACGGTCAGCAGTTCGAAACTACCATGGTTCCGCAGGAGAAAGATGGGGCTTTCTGCTCCTGTAAAGATTTACAGCTTCAGAAACCCTATGTGGGGTCGCTATGAGTCGGAACCAACTCCACTGCACATAAAACCACTACTGCTGTTGCCATCAAGTCAGCCTCGTGCACAAGCGGAACAGAATACTGCCCAGTCCTGTGCCATTCACATGATGGACTGGCGCTCAGTTGTGATCCATAGGGCTTGCATTGACTGATATTTGAAAGTAGATTGCCAGACCTTTCTTCCTGGTCTAACTTCAGACAGATCCTCGGACAGGCTTTCCAGCCCACCTCTGTCCATTTGTCCCTTTTTCCTTTCTCGTTGTCTTTGTTTAAGATAAAATGCCCTGCTCCTTAACCAGGGCCTCTGTATTTACCCTCCCTGGTCTGCTCAGTGTACCTCGGGCCAAACTCCCTTTCCTCCCAAGTCCTCTCTCACCAAACCTCAGCAAGTCTGTGTGGAAGAACCCCCTTCCCTCTGACTTTATTGTACCCCTTGATGCCACCTGCCATGTTCACCTTGTATACTAGTTGTGTGCAGCTTGAGGCCAAGGGTTGAGGCTGTTTTGTCTTTGCATACAGGTTCCAATGTGGAGACTTGTATGTATTTTTTTCCTTTTTTCCTGTTGCCTTGGAATCAGCTCTGACTCATGACGCCCCATGTGGATTAGGGTAGAACTGTGCTCTTTAACTTTCCAGAAGCGGGTATCCAGGCCTCCCTGAGGTACCTCTGCGTGGGACTCAGACCTCCAATCTTTCAGTTAAGCCCCAAGCATGTTAACCATTTGCACCACCTGAGATTTCTGACAGAGTGCAAAGTAAATGTAAGCATTTACTTTGAGGGGAAACCTCAGAATGGTTTCAGTGAGGCAATCAAAATCCCCTGATTTCATGCCTGGAAAACAATAATTCATCTAAATTCTGCCTTTATCAGTCTTCACAATTCACTTTGAGTCTTGCCTCCTATCTGCATCATAGCCATGTTTCTGGGCAGACATTGGCTCTGATGAAATGTTCTCCAGCTAGTGAGAAATCAGATCAGTTATGGCATGGGAAGTCGTTTTTCCTAACAGGTAAGTGCATGTCTCAGCTGGGTCCTCATTCTTTCCTCAAAATCCGTCCAGTCCTAACTGCCCCAAGTACCTGTTTCTGCCTCTTCAGCGCAGGTTTCCAGTTCAATGAGGGAGCCTTGTCTCTGTTGATAAATGAGCACACTTGCCTAGTCCTGCCGAAGGCTTGCAGATGTGCAAAGACAGGTCTGCTCAGGATCTGCTGAGTTACACATAGTGCCCCCTAACCCTTTGGAGCTGCTGTGTTTAGCTTTGTAAAAGGTTGCACAGAGGGGAGATTCTTGTTGTGTTCACTCACTTTTTTTCTGTCTTTGTCTCTGTTTCTCTCATATGCATGCACACACACCCCTACACGAGTGAGAAAAATGTGAGGAAAGCGTGACTTCAGGTAAATTCAAAGACATGGCATGATTTTTGGTGAGCAGGTTGTTTCTGCCCCAGTCACTAGAGTGGTGAGGAAGAGCACTTAAACAGAAGAAAGAACTACTGAGTTAGGAGGACAGCTAACCGTTGAGACATGAGAGTGCTTCCTGTGTGGAAAAACGTTCGGCTCACGATTAGACAAATCTGTATGCACTGCGGAGACATGGGAATTACTGAGAAAGGCGTCTCGAAAGATTAAGAGGCGATTTCACGGTTTAAAATACAGTGAAACTCAGAGGTACCTGAAGGATAAGCTAATTGAGTAGCCTATCAGTGTACAAACTAGGCCCCTACCACCCAGTGCTGCTACGGGACTACCTAAGGTTATTAACACAGCAGGGGCTTTTGAACTCAGTCTGTTGCTTCTCCTGCAATACTGTGAATACAGGGGCTATGTTAGCCTCCCCTCTAGGTTTTAGCTGCATAAAGGTGGAGTTAATATAATAAGCAAGTGTATATGAGATTGAGCTTCTCTGCTGACTTGATTGAAAACACTTAGATGCCCTCCAAGCAGATCAGAGTAAATTCTCCAAGTCATAAATCAGAACACAGCATTGATTATAAAATAAAAAGTTAGAAATTAGACTGCTTTGCTGATGTTCTTGGAGCAGAAACCTGGGTACCTCTGAAGAAATTCAGACACTTCTTTTGAACAGTTTGTTTTTTTGGCTCTGTGGGTTAATGTGCCAGACTGCAAAGCTGTTTGAACCGCAGGTCGGCAGTTCAGGTTTACCAGCTGCTCCTCGGAAACCCTATACAGGGTCGCTATGGGTCAGAACTGACTCGACAGCACTTCACAACAACAATATCTACTTAAATAATCAAGGACAATAAAGAAGGAAAGGAATGATAACCTAGACTGACAAGTAGTAACCCAACTAAGTAGATATGGAATCAAATAAGAAACATGATCCATAATGTCAGTCACACTGATTTGTGCATTGATACATTTTCTAATCGAGACCGTAATTCATTAGTAAGTCTTTATTGTGTGTCTAGTGTTTGGGGTACTTGGAACACGCAGCACACTGAGCGAAGGAAGAAAAGCCCCAACCCTAATGCCTCTGATGAGGTTCTAGAGGGGGTCAGAGTTCACCACCCATACACCATGGCTCCTACAACCCATTTTCTTTAGGTTTGGGCAGATATTTCTCTCATATAGAAAACCGATGGTATCTGTGTCCACATGTGGGTATGATTTTAATGAAGGTTGCTTTTTGGTTTTTAGGGAGAAGAAAATGGCTTTCAGGACAGTACTGGAGATCCCCTTTCAGGTAAATGATTGACTTCGGATGATACCTGGGCTTCAGGAATAACCCACAGGGCTAAGTTAAAGAGACTGTGTTTATCATTAATTTAAAAAGAAAAATCAGTGTTAGCATAGTAGAGCAACTTTCCAATGTTATGTATGCTGTGGTGAACTGCAAGAAATCTGTGTCTCACAAGATCTCACAAAAGTCATGTGAAGGGCACAGCAGGGTTCTGAATGAGACAGGCTTCCTGTTGGACCGTAGTTGGGACTAAGCAGACACTCCCTCAAGTTTTGAGAGACACGGTGTTGGGAAGGAGTGGGATGGATGGAAGAAGAGTGTTTGTCTCTGTGTGTAGGCAAACCAGAGCACTGTGGGAGGGGCCAACTTGTCCAGATCCATCTTGTTCCCACTGCCTTTGGGTCAGCACTGGCTCATGGTGACCCCATGTGTATCAGAGTAGAACTGTGCTCAGAACTTTTCAGTAGCTGATTTTCCCAAGCTAGATCATTAAATCATCAGGCCCTCCTTCCAGTTTGCCTCTGGGTAAACTCAAAGCTCCATCCTTTCCATTAACAGCTAAGTTACCATTTTCACCACTGAGAGGTGAGGGGTTCCTACTGACTCTAAGCCATGGGTTTCCCCTTCTCCTTTTCTTGGTGTTTGTGTTTTAACCAAAGAAGCATGAAAATTTGCTTCTATTCTCCTCCAGGCCCTCTTCCTCCTCCCCCCAACCCCCCCACACACACACTTTTTAAAATGTTTTCATAAGACCTGGAAACTTTGGCAATGTCTTTATTTCTTATTAATTAATCACTGGGGAAATAGGGAGTGAGGGTTAAAACAAGCCATGCAAACAAAGTAGAAATTAAAATACTAAATAAACAAAAACTCCTCCGACAGTATCTACCTCTTTTAAAACATACTGCATGACCTGAATCATCAGGGTTTTGTTGGCTTCTTTCTTTTTTTTAAGGGAGTGGGGGAGACCAATAAACCCCTAAGAAGCTGTTATAATCTGTCATCAACTCAGGCTGTGCCTTAGAAACATGGTGGTAATAAAACACTCCAATCTACTAAAAGCAGGTACCTCTGGGAGGTGCAATTCCAGGTAATTACTTTTCATTCAGTAGAGTTTTATCTTCTAAGGACCCACTTTGCCCCAGGTTCTCTAAGGAAAGCAGGCAGTAAGGGTACAAGCAGTTGGGGTTCTGGTTCCATGTCAGCTCCTACCCACTGTGATAAGACACTACTGAGTCTAAGCAAGCTTTGGGTGGTACTTTCCTCCCTCGGTTTCCAGGGTCCCATCCGGTGCTCCCTCTGGAACGCGCAGATCCCTTTGACAACACCACAGCCCTGCCAGAGTCTGAGGTAACTGACTCGTAAGGAATTTCTCTTTACAAAGATAGGCTTAGTCCAGGTGTGGTGCTGTGGGTTAATGCACTGGACTGCAAAGTCGGTTTGAGCCGCAAGGTCGGTGGTTCAAGCTCACCAGCCAGAGTCACTGTGAGTCGGAACTGACTTGACCGCACCTAACAATAACACCAACAACAACAATAGGAAGACGTGCTGGACTGCAAAGTCGGTTTGAACCACAAGGTCAGTGGTTCAAGCTCACCGTTCGCTCCTCAAAACTCTATACAGTGTCACTATGTCGGAACCAGCTCCACGGCACTTAACAACAACAACTGGAAGATGTGGAGGTGGGGAAAGCATTTTTGCATACAAGTAGAGGTCATTTTCATTTTCTTTCCACTTGCTTATATTTCTCAAATCCCTAATGTGAGTGGCTGGCTCAGAAAATATGTAACATGTAACCAGTTGTGTTGAGTCAGTGCCACATCATTTTCATTCCATCAGTGTCTGAGTGGATCTGTGCTCTGAAGGACTTTCAGTGACTGGTAGTTCAGAAGGGTACCTCAGGGTAGATTTGAACCATCAACATCTTGGTGAGCAGCCAAGTTGCACCACCCAGAGACAAATGTGTATGAGACAAATGAGCAGATGTCAGCAAATACACACATATGCAATGGTAGAAAAACCAAGGAAATCTCCACTATGCTAACTAATTGGTCTGGGAGTGAGACCATAAGGTTCATTTCCATTGCTTATCTGAATTTGCAATTTGTCTATAACAAGCATGTGCTTCTTTTGTAATAAACAACTGTGTTTCAACTTTATGCGCTCACATCCCACACACTAATATGAAACGCCAGCTAAAGTAAAAATAAAGAAATTTGTTTACGAAACTCTACAAAGGAGCTCTGGTAGCGTAGTGGTTACGAATTGGGCTGCTAACCTCAAGGTCAGCAGTTGGAAACGACCAGCCGTTCCACAGGAGAAAGACAAGACTCTCTGCTCCCGTAAAGATTTATAGTGTCGGAAACCTTATGTAGGGTCACTGTGAGTCAGAACCGACTCCATAGCACATAACCACCACCATAAACCTACAAGGCATAAACGTTTTGCAGTAATAGCAGGAATCTTGTGGTCTGCTGTGATCCCGTCAGTGGCCTGCTCTCAGAAGCAGAAACTGCTGGTCGGGTCAGTGTTTCTAGCATTGGTTTTATCGTCTGGCATATGGGATATTGTGTTGTGGTTGTTTTTCCATTAACAACAAATTTGCGAGACAGTGAATTAATGGCATTTTGTCTTCAATAGATAACTATCAAAAGCAGATTTATTTGGTCTTTGAATGATAGCAAGTTAACTAAGATATATTTCATTTTGTTTTGGCAAGTATGAGTTTAGCATGTATTGTATACCACCCTGTACAGGGTCGATATGGGTCGGAACCAACTCCACGGCACACCACCACCACCACCACCACCACCAGGCTTCTTATAAGGAGTCACTGCGTGGTACAAATAGTTACATGCCCAACTCATAGCTGAAAGCTTGGCAGTCTGAACCCACCCAGAGTCCGGTGTGGTGCTGCAGAATAATGCGCTGGACCACAAGGTCAGTTTGAACTGCAAGGTCGGCAGGGTCACTATGAGTTGGAATCGACTCAACGGCACTTCACAACCACAATATCAAGAGGTTCCTCAGAAGATTGGCCTGGTGACATGCTTCTGACAGGTCACAGCCTTGCAAACCGCACAGAGTAGGTGTACTGTGATTCCCCGAGTCAGAACCAACCAGATAGGCACTCACATCATCAGCGAGCCGCGTCTAAGTGCTCACTCATTCCTCAGGACAGCTTTGTGTGAGTTCTGTTCCTTCCTCACTGTGCAGCTGTAGCAGCCCACCGCCAGGGAGAGCTCAGGTGGCTTGTGTCCGGGCAAGCCCAGTGCACGACTAGCCCCAGTGCCTCCACCCACATGCCGGGGTGCCTCTGGGAGACACGAATTGAACGCCCAATTCGCTGTCCCCCAGGCAGACTTTCAGCGATCTCAAAGAGAGAGGGTCTTAAACTGAAATAAAACCAAAGTGCTGCTCGTGCTCCCCCACCAATATTCTACTTCTGAGCAGTGATGGCACCTTTCACAGAAGATGTACTTGTTTCCTGGGTGAGTCTCAGAGCTGGGTGGTTACTTCCGTGTCATCTCCAGCCTCCCGCTGAGTTAACTAAGCAGTATGGGGAGGGGGAGGGGGCCACTACAGGAGGGACGTGGACAGCTGTGAGGACAGCTTGAAATCAAGAAAAGGGGAAGAATACAATCCAGAATCAGAGACCGCTGGAAATCTGGGCCTTGCTGGTGACTGTCCCCAGGTAGGCAGAGCACAGGATGGAACTGGGGATTCTTAATGATGCTGTATGTTTTAAAAGTAGGAAAAACCACAAAACAGCAACAACAAAACCCTGCAGTGTTCGGTGTACCATGTTAAAGGACATTGTTTTTATACGGATTTTCAAAATTAAAAGCATTAAAGGAGTTAGGCTTTGTTATGGAAAATATTCCTGAAATTGGCAGATCTCATTTCTTCAGTGTACCTCATAAATACAAGGAGCTCTGGTAGCGTAGTGGTTAAAAGTCGGACTGTTAACCTCACAGTCACCAGTTTGAAACTGCCAGCTTTTCTGCAGGAGAAAGATGAGGCTTTCTGCTCCCTAAAGATTTACAGCCTCGGAAACCCTGTACAGGGTCACCATGAGTCCAAACCGACTCCATGGCACCCTACCACCACCACCATCATTCTTTTATTTAAAAATGTATCTCATATATATAAAAAAAATTGATAACAAAAAGACTAACATTCCAACTTAAAAATTGGCAAAGGACACAAGTAGACACTTCATTGCAGAAGACATTCATGTCGCCAACAAATACATGCAAAATGCAAATCAAAACAGTATAAGTATGGCCAGATTGCTCTTTAGAAGCCACGATGGCAAGACTTTGTCCCTTTGTCTCTCATACTTTGGACATACTGTCAAGAGGGACATTACGTTTGATAAACTGGAGGGTCCACAAGAAAGAAGACTCTCGATGAGATGGAGCATCACAGTGGCGGCAATAATAGGCTCGAACAGAACAATTAAGAGGATGTTGCAGGACCAGGTGGTGGTTCATTCTGTTGCTGTGAGTCGGAACAGACTTCACAACACCTAGCAACAGCACCAGTTACATACGCAATCCTACAATAGCAATAATGACAAGAATGTGTAAGTGGATACATAGATACATAAACTAAACAGGTGTTGGATGGTGTATGGGATATATATATATATACATATATATACTGTTGTTGTTAAGTGCAGTCGAGTTGGTTCTGACCCATAGCAACCCGATTCGTAACCAGTACGCTACCAAAGCTAAAATATATATATATAAAAAATACACATTGGGCAGTGTAGTGGTTACGAATTGGCCTGCTAGCCTCAAGGTCAACAGTTTGAAACTATCAGCGGCTCCATGGAGGAAAGATGAGGCTTTCTGCTCCCATTAAGATTTACACCCTCAGAAACCCTGTACAGGGTTACTATGAGTTGGTTCCGACTCCATGGCACATAACCACCACCATCACCACCACCATATTTGGCAGAGGATTTTTTTCATATGTATTTTTACACACTGCAG